TGTGATTGTTAATAATTCGGTCTGACCGAATTTAGACACTAGCCACGCATATCTTTAACACAATCGGCTTTCGAGAGAAATCTGACTTTTCTGAACTGATGTCTCCTGCTCAGAGTAGCATTGTTTCAGTTGGTTTGTTATGAAGCTTAGACACTAAAGTCTGGTGTGATTTTAGGATGCAATTCTGCTTTTCCGTAAGTCCAGCGCTCCTGTCGTTGTTTTGTCCTCGTTTTCCTCTCTTTCAGCTGCAACTTCATACTTTTCGATCAAGACCTATACTTCTGCCTGAGTCATTTTGAAACGGCGTTCCAAAAAAATGATCATCCACTCTTTCTCACAGGGAAAGCCAATAATTGTTCGGTAAGCAAAATCCTAGCACAGGCGTGCTTGTTCCAGTGCGCTCAAGTTTTATGTGCTTAGCAAGTGCATCATAGGCGACCGATTCCTAAGTTGTATCTCAGATGCCGATTTTTCCTAAGTTGTATCTCAGGTGCCGATTTAGACATGCTCCAAACCGCCCGACTCATTTGTGAACTTTTTCCTGACTACTGAGGTGCAGCAAATGACAAATGCAGAAGCAGTAGTCCTCTGTTTCCTGACCTCATTTAATCATGCCGTAAACGAAATGTTACTTGGCAATACTCCATTTCTTCGGCAACACGAGCGTTGATTGTATTAACATAGTTGTTAACCATCGGCAGAGTCACGAAGACCGCCAGGATGGATACCAGCGAGAAGATCACCGCCGTATAGGCCACAAACGTATAGGCCTTCTCCCGCGTTTCGCTCTCCATCTTTTCAAAAAGATTTGCTTATGTGTATAGCAAAATGAACGCTTAGAGTGTTTTCTACGGTTCAACTCGTTTATCGTTAGCAACAAAATCCGTAAAAATTTGAAAATTAGTACGAAAAGACTTTAAAACTGTTCGACTCGCAATGCTTTTTTTAGATCTCATGTCAGGGAAGCGGTTTGGCCGAGTATCGCAGTTATTTGGCTCTTTTTAGGCGAAGCCTGAGCAGGCTCTGCGTTTACACAGCAATACATTCAAAAGCCGATAGTTGGTGTTTGCATATACAGAACATTACTGTGACCACGCGAGAAAGATGACGGCACGACATATTGCTCGCTTTGCCGACAACC